TACGATTAATAACCGTAACGGACCTTTAAAAATAATAAAATTAATAAAAGTTTATAAAATAGTAAAAGTTATAATAAAAAGGTAAAAATAACGGTAAAAATAATAAATAATACGTACGAATTTAAAAACGAAAGTAAGTCCTGAAACGAATCCGAATCAACGATATTAAAGATAAGTTATTTTCAATAATAAAACGTAATATTTTATTATTAACATCGTCTTCTAAAATCGTATCTTAAATCATCGTGTGTACGCGTTGTCGGTTTCTCAAAGTTACCTCTAAAGAACCGTCTAAAGACGACGTATTCGAAGGGGGTAAAAAATCCACTATTATAAAAATTAATAAAAACGTTAATAATAAAATTGTTTATAATAAAAGCCTTATTAATAAAAATAGTTAATAAAAACGTACGTTTCGAAAGGTAAGCTTCGGAGGCTTTATTATAAGCAACTGCACTGTGTTTTCGTTTATAATGGGCAACGTAATTCGAACTTTTAAAATTAATTAAAAAGTCGATTTTCGTATTATTACATTTAAATTAATTAATAAATAACCGTTAAAGTAATAAAAATATATAAAATCTTACTATATATAAATAACTTTTATTTACCTATTAATACCCTTCGTAAAAGGTAAGAGAAGTTTACGTCGAATTAAACTATTTAAAACTAAATAAATAAGGTTATTTAAGTCGTTTAAAACCAAGTCTAAGTAGTTAAAAAGGATTTTAAGTAGTTTTTTACGTCTTCGAAAAGGTAAAGTAAAAGAAAAACGTTAAAAAGGTTCTATTAAACCCACGGATTCATCGTCGTTAATAAACGTAAAACTAACGTTTAAATTTATTTTATTAGTTTAACGCCGTCCCGGACGTCGAAAAATAAATAAAAGAAGATAATAAATAAAAAAGAGTTAAAATAAAAAATAATAAAGGAAAAAGTAAAAGAAAAGGTTAAAAATAAAAATAAAAAACGAAAAATAAAAACACCGTAAAGGTTTTACTTATATTAAAAGACTTCGTTAAAATCAGTAAAAAAAAACAAGGATTACAATTAAACTAATTAAAAAATACATATAATATTTAGTTATATTTTTTCGTTAACTAATAAAAAAAATTTATACGTAGTACTATTAATAAATACTTTTTAATTATTTAAAATTTATTGCTTACTTTTGTATATTTTTAAAAGGTATACGGTAAAATAAGTAATATATTACGTATTTAACGTAACTAAGTTAAAATAAATTATTTTTATATAATTACCGTTAAATAAAATTTAAAAAGTAAAAACTTCTTCTTTATAAAACGTAATAAACGTTTTAAACGAACACTTTTTAAAATAAAAATTTTACTTTTTATATTTTATAACTCGAATAATTTATATTTTTTACGGATATTAAGTAAATTAAGTTGATTATTATATATTTAATGTGAATATATTAAAATAAAACGGTTTAGTATAATTATTATAAGATAAAACTAAAAAGTAAAAACTTACTTTTTAAAAACTATAATAAACGTTTTAAAGTAATCCTTTTTAAACGAAACTTTTAATATTTTTAGCTTAAAACTTAACTTTATTTTTTTAAAAACTAACATTTTACTTTTTATATTATAAACCTCGAATTAGTTTTATTTTTAAATATAATATAACTTTAACAGATTAAATATTTTATTTTACTAATACTTATTAAAAAACAGGTTTTATTAAATTATTATTATAACGTATTAAATTAAATATATAAAATTAAATAAGTTTTGTTTTTTAATATAATTAAATTTAATTATACTAAAACTATTAAAGTAAAATTTAATAGTTAGTATTAAATTTAATTATACTAAATTTAATTGTTTTTTCTTAACAACTAAATTTAGTTGTACAAAGGCTACTAAAACTAAATTTAGTTTTTTAGTTGTACTAAAACTAAGCAACTAATTCCCAACCCTGAATATAATATAGTTGAAAACGTTTTCCCGTTTAATTTTAATAAAAAGTTAATTATTTTAACGATAACGTAAAAAATAACGTAAACGTATTTTATCGTATTTTATAAATAACGTAAAAACTTTTTCGTGATAATAATAATAAATCTTATATCGTTAATACTTGATTATTATACTACGTACGTATTATAAAGTTTAATAAAAGTTAATATTTTAAAAGTAATAATAAACCGAACGTAAAACCGGTTTAATAAGTCTATAATTACGTCGTAAACGGTAAAGTTATTAATAAATTAAAAACGATTTGAACTTAAAAAGACTACGATTAAAAGGTAAAAAAGTAAGAGAAATCACTTTTAAAAACGAAATAAACGAAATTATAAACGAGTTAAATAATAAAATAAAAGGTAATTATAATTAATATTTTTTTACGAACGGGAAAATTATGTATAGAATAACCCGTAACGTATTAAGTTAAAGTTAAAAAAGTTTAACGATTAACGAACGACTTATAAACGTATTAATATTATAAGTTAATTAATATATGAAAAAGTAAACGAACGACGAAGTGAATTAACGGTACGTTTTATTATAAACGTACGGTTTAATATAATTATAAAACATTAAATAATTAAATTTAAGTTATTTGCGTTATTATATAAAATAAAATTAAAACTCTTTTATCATAATATCGTTTAAAAACTTATCTTTATTACGTTTATAATGTTTAAATATATTGAAAAGTATATTAAAAATAATTTTATTAAAAACCACTTTCAAACGCATAAACTATAAAATATAAACGAAATTTTTTTTAAAAAAAAATTCGATTGACGACTCACGAACGAAAAATAGTTAATAAACTTAAAAACGTTAAAGAAAAAAAAAGAGTTAAAGTAAAAACGAGTTATAGTAAAGATTTAATTAAGTAATTAGTTTTATATTTATATATAACAAAGTAATAAAAATAAATAAGGTTTATAAAAAAAATTTATATGTAAAATAACGGATTGTTATATTTATTTAAACGTAAATAAAGTCTAAATTTTTTAAATATTAACCCGATATTTTTAAAAAATAAAAATATAAATAAGATTTAATAAATAATTATTTATTAAACTTATTTAAATAATTAAAAAAAGGTTAAAAACTCGATTAAAGTTTTTAACTTTATATAACGTAATTTTTTTAATGAGTTTTATTATTACCCACACGTTTTAAACCGACCGACGACGAAGTTAAAAAAACTCTATAAAAAACTCTACAAACTTTTCCACTTAAATAAAATATATAGAAGTCCTTTCACGATCGGCCACGTATCGTAGAATGGTCGCCTAAACGAAAGTTTCAAGAACTTAAGTATACCTAAATTTTTATCGTGTTCCTTATTCTTTTCCTTTACCAAGGCATACCTACGGCCACCCTATTTTGGCCTTAGGTACTTATTCCTTTACAGATTAAAAACTATTAACCACCCTCGGTTACTCGGGTAAGTTTAGTAGGCGATTACTTGTGGAATCTCTTTCTCCCTATATAGGTCTACTTCATATTTTTCTCTTTCTTTACTAAGTTATACTTACGGTCACCGTATTCTTAAACCTATCAGGTAATCTTATTATATAACCCTTTAGTAACCAAACCCCGACAACTTATAGGCGGGAGTAGTAGTATCATACGGTCTGTAGGTTTTCGTGTACCGTATTTAAAAAAGGCTTATTTTTAGCCGTAAGGGGATAGATTACATCTACGACCGAGTGGGACCGACCCTTTTAAACCCGCGTCTACTGAAATAACATATCGCCGACGTGGGGAAGTTGGGGTGGTGTATGATTACCGCCCAATTACAGTTTCGGGTATGACTAAAACGGTCAGTCTAAGTTTGGATTTACGTGGAGGAGAGAGGGGGGGGGGGGGAGGAGGCGCAATTAAACAATGACGATGGTAAACTGGGCGGTATGTGGGGTGTTTAAACAGTGCCACATGACACGAAGTAAACTTACACCGACAGAACTGAGTAAAACATTAATAACGAACATGAGGAAACCAATACTACCCGTGGGGGTTCATACATTTGCCTCATGAGTTTCCAAAAGCATTTCCAAACATTGGATAAGAACTAGCATATGCTGGCCAGTGATGTTCTCCGAGTGTATACGTCCTAGATATAAATGAAGTATGGATGCCATGGGCAAGATTCAAACAACCTTGTCTGCGAGCGTTTTTAAGATCTGTTGCTACTCGCCTACACTACCAGCATTGTGCAGCTTTGAAGTCTCTTGAATATAGTTCCACAGTCCAAGTCAATCCGACATATATCATTGACTGAACCAGAACAAACCCCAGTTGCACAGAAAAACCGCTAAAAGTACCGATAGAGAGAGCACAATGGCACCTACTCAAACAACGGAGTGCACCACAGCCCGGTCATCTGACCGCGGAGCCGGCATACTTTCGAATTGCGAAGTCTGGGAGTACATTCGTGGGACAAGTCCCATTTTCCACGTCCCTGGCCCTGCGGTTGGACCGGTCCCGCCTGAGATCCGATCTGAATACGACAAAACCACGGATGGGTCTACCCAAGGATTTTGCCTTTGGCCAAATTCCATTGTCGACATAGAGCGCCGCATTGCATTCAATACGCATGTATATAAAGCGTGGATTCAGAACGGTGCCCATATACGAGAAGGTGCAACGTTGCCTGGCATCTCGTTCGTCGAGGCCACAGGGTATTTTAAAATCGAAGGCCCCGCATCCGGGCCGTCCAGAAGCAACTATATTATCAGCAAAGACGACCTCCAGTGCATTTTGAGATCTCTGATCAGCGTAGCTCTGAGCGAGGCTGTCAAGCATCACCTGGTGGAAGGGGGGGATGAACGCCTGCATCTGCAACCAGCAGCGCGCCAGAGCCACCACGAGAGAGGTATTAATAAATACCACTGTCCACCACACCCTGTACCGCGAGATACTATCGTGCGTGGTTCATGCACTTGCTCGCCACCTTCGGTCCTTGGCTTCGAGTCCGCACGTGCGTGCCTTCGTGCATTGTGGAGCGGTGATATGTCAGTCGAGGACGCATTTGGTGACATTCGGCTCCGTGTTTCAAAGATTCTTGGAATCAAGACCGCTCACCATGTCATCCTCCACCCATCTGGAACAGATGCTGAACTTACTGCGTTGCTGGCAGGGGTCAATCAGGCACGTCAGCTCGGGTGTTCTGGGGTAGTAAACATAGTGGTTGGCGCCAAAGAGGTTGGCTCGAACACGGCTACGGCGGCCGGCGGCAAGCATTTCAGCAAACATTTTCCTGTCAGCTCCACCAACAACCCCGAGGACGAGGCAGCGCAAGGTGGTAATATGTTCTCGCCTGTGGCAGTCAGTGCAAATGGCATCGAGAATGGAATCCAAGTGGTTGAAATTGCTGCCAGGTTGGACGATGGGTCCATGGTACCGAACTTCGACGCCCTCGTGCTTCAAACAATGGAAAACGCCACTTTGTCTTGCAAGTCAAGCGGGGAATCAGGGCCCTTTTTTGTCCTCCATGTTGTGGATGGCTCAAAGCTTGGTTCTCACATCACAAGCCGGTCTTTACTTAAGAGGATCACTTGCCAATACGGGGACCGCGTACTGTTCGTGCTCGATGCGTGCCAGGCAAGAACGAGCACGGGGGAATTGGATTGGTACTTAGCGCGGAATGCGGTAGTGTTAATGACCGCAAGCAAGTTCTATGGAGCGCCCGGATTCTGCGCCGCAGCGTTGGTACCACATAAGATCGCCATGGCGGGCCTTTTCATCGACACAGAACCCAGGGAACCGGGGCGACCCGCAGTGGTGTCGCACAACTTGGGCAAATATATCACAAAGCTGGAGGTTCCGCGCGATCTCGAGGCCCTGCGAGCGACTCTCCCCGCCAGACCAGAAAATGTTGGGCTATTGCTCCGATGGTCCTGTGGTGTGTTCGAAATGGACCGGTTTGCAAAAGCTGGACAAAAAGGCCAACAAGTAATTGCTTGGTGGGTTGACGGTGTGAGAGCTGTAGTTCGTAGCAAGAGGCCACACGTGCTGCTGTTGCGGGATACCGGATGCGAGAAGGACGAAACTGTACCGTTTCCGGCTGCGGATACGTTTGTGGGTTGTGTTAACTCTATCGTCAGCTTCTGCGTCATTACTGGGGCGAGCAAAGGAGATGGAACTCCCGTGAAAGCGCCATCCACAATGAGTGCTGTAGATCTGCGACGGTTTCACAGGTGGCTGACAATTGACATGGAGGGCGTGTTGCCAGAGGCGGCAACCGATGACGAGCGCCGGACGGCAAGACTGAGATGCTTCATTGGCCAGCCGGTGGACCTTGGCAAACTCGCTGTGCTTCGACTCGCTATCAGCGCATCGCTAGCGAGCGACCTAGCGGACGGTAGCCGGAGGCTTGATGAGGTGCTGGCAGATGATGGCAGAGTACTGGATAAAATTTTGCTAGTTAAAAAGTACTATGGAGAGTTTTGTGCTTGGGATGCAGGAGAACTTTAACGGAGGTAGGCACTCGTTGAGCCACAAAGTTCACATTATGGCTTGAATTGACGACTTCAAGTTAATCAGTTCGCCTTTGAATTACCTCTTGAGCCTGGCCTACTCTGCCGTGCATGGTGACAACAGCCTGCGGGCCGTGGAGAACTGTTGTAGTCCAGAGAGCTCGCCTCAATTAAGAACAACAAACGGCTGGACGACCTGAGTGGTACGCTGAAAGGTCCAGTTCTATAGAGACACCGAGGCTGGCTAGCTTTGATAGAAAACAAAAATTATTTTGGAGATGTGTCCGAACAAGCAAGGCCGTTATCGCTCACATTGCCGGTTCTAGGCACCGATAGAAGCGCACTCTGGCGAGAATGCAGCCTTGAAGTTGGGTATACTTAATGTTGTGGAAGTAAGCATTTATAAAGACACCAGCCGCAATTCAAAGAGGAAGATGCTGGGCCTGACATTCTGATTCTGGGGAAGGCATTCCCGCAGGTAGTTTGAATTAGCTGTTAGGCATACTTGGTGTATTCAAGCACACGTAGTAAATAGAAAAGAAAACCAGATACTTGGTTGATCGGCTAAATAATCGAGTGAGACCCTATGGTCTTTATTTGCTAAGCGACTTGTATGCCACAGGGAAGATAATATAGCATGAGTTACTCACAAGTTGGCGAGTGCGCTTTTCATTATTACTTTTATTTATGTACGGCCCTGGGCCCTGGGCCCCTTGATTTAAGTAGGACCCACGAGCCCAGCAGGTCACGTGCCGGATCCTAGGTGGTCCTGCCCCTGAGAGGTCTCGCATGCCATTCTTGTTGAATGCCATGCACATTATCCCACGATTTATCGTCCATTCACGCATCTTGATTTTGCTCGTCGTTTGCTCATCTCTTTAAGCGCCTTCCAAGAATGACATACCGCTGGGTACCTGGTCGGTCCAAACGTATGGTTTAGATCTAGGGGTTGGGGTTTCCCATTAAGGGAGGTGTGTGACTAAATACGTCTCTTAAATATGATTTGTACGGAGGTAATTTTTCTTCCAGCTTGAGACAGAATGATGGATAGAGCTCTAAGCGTCGTTTTGTTTTGAAAGCGCTGTTGAATTTGCTAGTAGGCAAAGGAGCATGTTGAATATTTGCTAGTTAAAATGGACCACTGATTGGTGGCGACTATTGATTATGGCCTGGCTGCCACGCTGCGCACGGCGAAGTTACTTTTCACCTCCCCCCTTCCATTATTCAGTAGCCTGTGGGGCTTTTTATCCTGGCGCCGTCAACGAAGTAAGTACGGCACCGGCAAGACGCAATGTCATCCTACTGGACACTCGCACGCGCACGCGCAAACGCTCCTTGACTCTCACCACAAAACAACGACAAGCACGAGAAGAAGGGCCCAGAAGTAACAAACTCAAAGGGTATCCTAGCCCTTCAGTTTGCTCATGTTGGCCCTCCGCGCCTCCCAGTCCGCACCCAACGTTGTTGCAAAAAATCATGCTTTGTTGCCCGCTTGCTCTCATTCCGTAACTACATTGGCTTTTCTTGCGCCACCATCTCCTAAGTTCTGCATCCGACCCATACTTGTTGCTATCAATCGCACACCTGTTTCCTAGCGACCGCCGACACCGACTGAGCCGGCATAACCATTTTCCTCCGCCCAACAAAGTACTACTCGTGGGCTCCCGCTCACCACGACTGACAGCCAGTCTTCGAACTACCCACCGTCTACAATCCACAGCGTGTTCTTCGACGGTCCTTTTGTCCTGCAACCCAAAGAGGCCGTAACATCACCTTATGATATCCTTGATTACACTCCCCCTGGTGACTGTTTCTGAAAGTGCACTCTTTGGCCTCGAGAGACCGTCGGCCAAGGCCCCGTTTCTGGCCTACGTACCACGTCTCTCGATGATGGTATGTTTTTGACACTATGCATCGAGTTTTGCTACAGTGTGTTTGTGACATGATAGTCACTCTTCGTCGAGTCTCGCGCTGCGGTCTGGTTGTGTTCAACGTGCCACACTCATGCTAACTAAGCCTATTAGAGCTCATCTCGCCTTCACGACACCGGCGATAGCTTTCCAAATCGGCGTGGCCATGGTAGCCAGCTGTCGATTTCAGACCCGAGCCACCACGTCACTGAGGCTATTGGAACACTGTATGGCGATAACGACGATGATGGCCATGATACCCGGCGGGATAGCCGCCCTCTTAGCTTTGTGGCGTCCCCACACGGCGGGGAACAATTGCACAAGCCTCTTTTGTATGAAATACCACACCGGCTCCCAACGTTGGAAGGAACCAACGTCACAGTCGAACATCGAATGACGTCTCGCGTTACTGCCGATACGAAGCCCACCATAGACATTCCCACATCAAATGGACATAATGGCGGGCCCGAAAAGTCACAAACACTCCCCACTGGCAAGCATAGCGAGACGAGCGGTTCGCCTTTGGAGCCTTTACTCCCTACAATGCAACCGTCATCGCCGCTCTCCCCCACACACCCTCTCCGAGATGTACAGAACGATTCTCAAAGTGGCTCGCGATTTCCCCTCACCAACATCGATAACCCCAACGACATTGCACAGGAACTCAGTAACTTGCAGGCTTTGCGCCGCATGTCCATGGATGTCGGAAACTCGGCAGACCCCGATCTTGTTCCTTTCCAGGGGCTGTCTTTGATGGCCATGCCATCTATAGCACCATCCGGAGAAGACGATGAGGGGGACATATCGAGGCTGTTATGGGTTCCAGCAAAAGTCCATCCGGAATTGGCTCCAGACCAGTTCAAAAGTTTCTTGGAGAAACGCGTTCAGTCTATCAAAAGACGATCAGGAGACTCACAACTTGCTACTGACGGCCAGCAGCCAAGAGCGGATGGTGGTGGGCTAGGACGAAATAAGTCTATGCTTTCTCGACAAGTCGAGAGCAAAAGCACCGAGACGAACTGGGGCGGAGCTGGCAATGACCACAACGGTGCCGGAGACTGGCGTCCGAGGAGAAAGACCTCTGAAACTAGCACCATTCAAAGTGGCCCCGAACTCAACCTCAATGACCTATTGAATGACTCTACTAAGATCGTTCAGAGATTGGCATTGGATTCTCAAAGGCAGACAGGTAGTTTGGATATGTCTAGTCTTGACGATAAACCAATACTGCCTGTTGCAACAATGGGCTTACGACGGTCCACTCGAACGACGTATCGCAAAGGCGGTAGCTTACGTTCCGGTGACCGGGTCCCTCTCTCCAGGCGATCTGCGGGAGCTCGCCAACCTCGAAGAAATACTGATAGTGACGAAGGAAGGTCTGCCAGCCATGCACCGGTTTCGGAACCAGTCCCCCCCGCCGGCCTTGATCTGCAACACGCCAGCTCTGAGCCTTCGGCACCCGAAAACTTTTCACATCCCGTTCGGCCTGTTATGCGACAGCATCAGCTTGTCTCCCAAGATGGCGATGGATCTGTGGAAGGTATCTCGGATCAGCCACCAGCCACGAGAAACACTCCTAAAAAAACTTCGACTACTACGTTACCGGAATTTGATACTACACCTCAAATGTTACCTACGGAGTTTGTTGCTGAAGGAGGACCAATTGAGTCTCATGAGTCCCAGCCAGCACCGCAAGTGCTCCCCACCGCATATGATGCTAAGGTCTTCCCATACCGATCGTCGTCTCAAAGCAGTTTGAATCACGGGCCAGCACAGCCAAGTATAATGTTTGATGCACCGCAATCGCAGTCTGATAACGGTTTACAGCAAGAACAAAACCGACCACAGCAGTCTCGGCAGCACCCTCCACCAAAGTCCATTAAGGGCCCGTCTTTCGGTAGATCTTCCTATCAGAGTTCCGACACCTCTTCATCTTCCGGACCCGATACTACGGCAGGCCAGGCATTGAATGGCATGGTTAACCTTTCATTCGCCGTTCCCGGACATAGCTCCTCGCGGACTGACGGTCTATCAGTTATCCCAACTCTTCCGGTTGACGACAGAAAGGCAGATAAAAAACTGCGAGACAAGGAGGAGACCGAGGGCGGGAAGTCGACAGGTTGGAAGTGGTTCAAGAGCGACGAGAGAGAGAGGAAGAAGAAAGGGAAAGACAAAGAACGAGATCGAGAGAAAGAAGACCAGGCCAAAAAAATGCGCTCAAAAGCTGACCGGCCTCAGTCGGAGAAAACTCATGATGGCGCTCGATTGGACGTGCTCCAGAGCTCCATTGACAACTCCGGCACTAAAGAGCGAGAAAGTTTACTTCTAGACCGAGACGGTCTCGGCGGAAAGTCACACGAAGACAAGGTTGATTCTGGCATTCGAAAAGCTACCGAGACCAAGAAGGAAAAAGACGGGTTTTTTGGGTCCATTTTCGGGGGATCCCGGCGAAAAGAAAGCAAAGACGGCGGCAGCAACAAGGGGAAGCAAAGGGTCACATCGCCAGACCCCGTCCTGCGACTTCTCCGCCCGGATATTGACTATCCGTACACAAGATTTCCAATCGTCGAGGAACGTGCCATATACCGGATGGCGCATATAAAGTTGGCCAATCCGCGCCGCGATCTGCGGAGCCAGGTATTATTGTCAAACTTCATGTATTCGTACCTCGCGAAAGTGCAAGCGATGCACCCCCAACTCAATGTCCCTACTTCCCCCCACCAGAAACGGCAAGAAGAACGAAAACGCCAGGGACAAGAGTTACAACAACAACAATACATGGAGCAGCATATATCGATGCAGCAAGGCCACCATTCGCAAGATAGTGGTGACCAGTATGTTTTCGAGTATAGCACGGTAAATTGCATCGCCCCTTGCCAAAAGTCGCTTTTCACGAATATTTTATAACATGGGATACTAACACGCTGTGTAGTCAAGCAGTCAGTATGGTGACACTGGACAGCGTATCGGTGACGACAGATCTCTGAACTACGTCGACGACGCCCAGATATTCGAATACGACCATGACGGCCCCCAGAGTGGCAATTCTATTGCGGGCATCCCACCTCAGGAACATTTACAGCAGCAACCACACCGACGTCACCAAGATGGTGGTGGCCAGGATTACGAACGCCATTCTGTAAACAGGAAGGTGCGTGGTTATTACGATTATGGCCACGCAGATGATGGTCACCATAGCGAAAGCGATATGTGGGGATGAGCAAGGAGCGACTCTGGGTTGCGTCTCTGCGGTCGTGTCGAGGTGTTTGTAGAGGTTTATTATTATAAGATTATGAGAGAATCAAATTAATTAGCACTCACGATATAACAGCTCTGAACTAAAATATCGTCTGCTTTTGTCTTGTTGGGCTGCCCGAGAATTTCGATTTCATGAAACAGAAAGGTGTATGTATGCTACTGAGTTGGCATGCCTTGTCGGTTCCAGAACGATGCCGTAAGCACCTCATGTCATATCGCCCATGATATGGTTCGTTTTAGTTTGACAACTGTGACAAGATTCCGTACTATTTCAAAGCATTTGGTCTCTGCCGAAGTGTGTTCTCCTCTACAACACCAAGTTTTCACATTCTTATGCAAAATAGGTTTGATAGCTAGCACTACGAGAAGTGTGGTCAATGGCGACTCTGCACCCGCTAAGGCAACTCATATGTGACGTCGAAACAGATACATAACGATGTTTTGTTGTATTCATATTTCATGGTACCTTAAGATGTCGGTTTCATCTACTCATACTGTGTGATACCTGGCTCTTCGTAAACAAGCTAGTCCTAATCTAGAAAGGCACTACTTTTATCCTGGTTTCCCCTAATTGGCCTCTGGACTGGTAACACCCTGCACAGCAAAAGGAAATTGCGGTAGAAATACTCCGTACTAGGCGGCTTACCGACGAAGAGAGCTTTCTTTTAACTTTCTGTCCATTCATACTGCACGCATCTCCCCGCAAAGGACAATCGGAATCGACAATTGACATCGAACATCTACTATCGCTTGCTGCAACGTTGATATATCAGCTGCATTCCCGCTCTGCCATTACTTTGTGTGCTATTTTGCCCGTTTTCGCCACCTCTTGATCAAGCTTCAAAGCTACCAGGTAGAATATCAAACAAGAAAACAGAAGAAGGGAGCCATACAACGAAGGCCACATCCTCGCGGCCCTTCGCTCGTCGATTGTTTTCTTTGGTTGTTTTGTTTTTCGCCGTAAGAAGTCTGGGAAAGAGCTGCAACTGCAGCTTTTGCGTCCCGTCCTCACCTGGCTTACACATTCATCCGACATCACCACTACACCTCCAACTACACGGGACTTGCCATGGCTTCCGTAAGTTTGTTTTTTCCTGAGCTCATGTTTACTGCTTACACCAATCACCGGGGCTGTTATCGTTTTATATGTTTTCTCTGGGGGCCACCATGGTGCTTGCTCTGTGGCGAGTAAAACTTGTCGCCTCTTCAAGACTTGTATCGACATGGGTGCTAATATTTACTTCATTGATTTAGCAAGCCCGCTCTTCTTTGCTAGGCCAAGGAGGCGCCAGCGCCGGTTCCGCGTATTTGCCAAACGGCGCTGTGTCCTCCCCCTCCCTGGGTACTGAAGCGCGACCGCTGCTGCCCAACCAAGGGCGCGTTGTACAGACTGGTCCCATCCGAGTTCTCTGTATTGCAGACGTTCGAGGTATGTTTACTGGATGCACAATATTCACTCAATAGCCTGAATATGCTAGAAAGTGCTAACCTGGGCTCAACATTAGGAAACTTGAGATCGTTGAACGATCTTGCCAAGCAAGCACGTGCTGATTATATCATACATACCGGTGATTTCGGATTTTATGATGACACGTCGCTGGAGAGGATTGCCGAAAAGTAAGTGGCTTAGACTCTGAATCGCTGCTACTCTAAGTCGCTGGTTCGATCTTGATTGCCTGTCATCTAGTTGTTTGTTGCAGTGCTGACATCAAACCTGTCTAGAACCCTCAAACACGTTGCCCAATATTCGCCGCTCATTTCCGAGCCTATCAAAAAAGCTATTGCACAGCCTGGCACTGGCTCGTCCGTGAAATCTCGATTCCCACCCCGCGAGCTTCCATTGTCCGAACTGTCCCTCCTGCTAAATGGCGATTTGAAACTGGACGTACCAGTGTACACTGTTTGGGGGGCTTGTGAGGATGTCCGAGTTCTCGAAAAATTTCGCTCCCGTGAATACAAGGTTCATAACCTTCATATCATTGACGAAGCTCAATCGATGCTTCTCGAGATCGGGGGCGTGAAGCTCCGCCTCCTGGGCCTTGGTGGTGCTGTTGTCATGCATAAGCTTTTCGACAACGGCGAAGGCCGTACGACAATTGCTGGTGGCCAAGGCACAATGTGGACGACACTGCTTCAGATGGGTGAGCTCGTGGACACCGCCAATCGTGTTTACGATCCGACTGAGACTCGTATTTTCGTTACGCACGCATCGCCCGCACGCGAAGGCATTTTGAATCAGTTGTCGGTGACTTTAAAGGCTGATTTTTCTATTTCGGCCGGCCTCCATTTCCGCTATGGTAGTTCGTACAACGAATTCAGCGTTAATCCGACTCTCGATCATTACCGCGGCAAGCTTGCAGCGAGCAAAGCTTCTTTCAACGATGTCTGGGAAACGGTCAAAAGCGAGGTAGAGCCGGCTATCCAGCAAAACGAAGCACAGCAAAACCTGCTGAAGAATGCCCTTGGCATCGTGGAAAAGATGCCGACAACGGCAGCTGGCGGCAATCCGTTCGGCGGATCTGCTGCAGGCCCACCTGCCCTTGGACAGGTTGACGAAAGCGCATTCAAAAACATGTGGAATTTTAACCTCGCGGATGCTGCGTTTGGCTACCTTGCCCTGGAAATACAAGACGGGCGCATTGGTACGGAGATGCGCGCCCAAGGCTTCAACTTCTCCCACCGCGGTATGAAGCAGCAGGCGAACTCTTCCCAGCAGGCTCAGGCACCCGCAACATCCACTGCCTCACCTCAGCCTTCGAGTGTGCTCCCACCTCCTCCCCAGGATCAGCAATCGTCTGTTTCGATGTCGCAAAAGCTACCGGCTTCGCAAACGCAACAGCAGGTCCCAGTGTCTATATCTTTCTCTAGCAAAACTGCAACCACCTCCGTTTTAGGCTCTACGAAGCCCCCGGTGCCCCAGCTGTCTACACCTGCTCTTAAGGACAACGAAAAGCATATATCTTCTGGGGCATCAAACGGTAATGTGGTAGGCTCAGAACCGACGCAATCGCCCGTACCGAGAGCTCCGTCTACAGACGTGATTGGGCTTTTTATTATGAATGCGCAGTCTGACGACCAGACCAGGGAGCTGTTTGCGAGTGAGGATTTGCAAAAGATAGTGAAGATTGAAAAATATGGGCAGACGAACAAAGTCGTCCATTTTAAGACCTTGGGGGATCGAGATGATGCGATGGACCGATTGCCAGAGGAAGCAAAACATCGCACCACGGAGGATCGTTCGAAGCCTCTGGTCAAGATCTTTATCCCAAGGGAGTCAAACAAATCTTTCGGTCGTGACCGTGGTAGTGCTGGCACCTGGGGAAGCAGCAACAGAGGCGGTTCCCACACTGGTGGTTCTGGGCAGAGTGGCTACCGCAGTGCTGGCGGAGGCACAGGTACGGCGAGTGATAGTGAAGGTGCCGGCCGCCGTGGTGGAAGCGGCCGAGGTGGGCGGGGAGCTGGGCGCAGTGGAGAAGGCCGTGGTCCGCGAGGCCGCGGAGGCCCAAGGGCTGCGGTGAAGGGTGACGGAGGCAATGGGTCTTCAACTGCCACCCCGCCGGCACCTTCTGATGCCTAACACGGATGTTGTGCGTTGTTTTTTGCTCTTGTTTATTCGTTTATTTGCGAGTCGTCATGTGTGTATTTGCGTGTTGCTTTGTAGCTAGTTGCTTTGCTTAAATAGCAACACCGCCTCGTTTACTAGTGGGCAGCTTCGCCATATGTCGGTTATATTATACGTTCGTTTTGTAGGTCGAAAGACTCTGGTGGACTCTTATAAAAGTACCAACTTGGTAATTGAATTCAAACATGTGTGAGTACATTATTACTCGTGGGATAGGGATAAAACATAGAGAAGCAACTGATATGTACAAGGTTGTCCATAATGCCAGCGAATGTAAAATATCAGATACATGGCTATGTGAAGTTGCTCTCTACACAAACACAGCTGAGCGGACACTCCCTCGGCAATAAAACAGAGCTCTCCATCGAAAGAGTCAACCATGTCAAACGTGTAAAACTGACACCAATATCACAACTTTCACATTACGAATTAGCATCAACTCTTGTATGCCTCCGTCGAACATGTACATAGTAAAGATGACCGAGCTAGCAAAAGAACCCGAATAGAATATGAACCGTACAAAAATAAGTTAAATAAAAGCAGAAAGAAATGAATATGGTCGCAAAAGACCGACACAAGACCTAAATCACACTGAATTACGTCGACAGGCCACCATCACTATGCGTCGAATCGCCCGACGAGTTCGTCGACTTCCTTACGCGCCAACGCATACATAATACCCCAGGTCAATGTTGGTGCACGCCGAGTTCACACTCGGGTTCCACTTGGCCCATTGCGCCGCCGTGATGCCTGCCGCCGCCTCAATGGAGGCGCACGTGTCACCCGAGGCGACTAGGTGGTATTTGGTACACGTCGATATGGTCCCTGGCTGAAGCGGAGAAGGCGTCGAAGACACAGCACCACCGCCACCCGCAATGCACAGGTAGTGGCCAACTTGAATGTTGGTACAATCGGCGTTAACGCCCGAGTTCCAGGTGGCGAACTGTGCCGACGAAATGCCAGCAGCAGTCTCAACGGCCGAGCAACTGTCACCGGCTACCACGAGGTGGTAGGCTGTGCAGTTATCGAAGGTGCCGGGTTGGAGGGGGGATGGGATAGCCGAGACAACGCCGCCGCCACCACCAACACACAAGTAGTAGCCGACATCAATGTTGGTGCAATCGGCGTTAACGCCCGAGTTCCAGGTGGCGAACTGTGCCGACGAAATGCCAGCAGCAGTCTCAATGGCCGAGCAGCTGTCACCGGCTACCACGAGGTGGTAGGCCGTGCAGTTGTCAAACGTGCCTGGCTGGAGAGGAGAGGGCACAGTTGACGCGGTGGACGTCTTGGACGTTGAAGAAGTCGTCTTAGATTTGACGATAGTCGACGAGGTGGTCGCCTTGGACGTGGTGGATATGGGCAACACAGTTGACGCGGTGGATGTCTTGGATGTTGAAGAAGTCGTCCTAGATGTGACGATAGTCGACGAGGTGGTCGCCTTGGACGTGGTGGATATGGGCAACGAGCTAGGTTGTACCGCCGTAGTTCCTCCCGGCACACCGACACAGACGTAGTAGCCGGTCAACAGGCCCAGACAGTTGCTTTGCAAGGCCGGGTTCCACGTCAAAAAGTCTGCGGCCGACACGCCATACGATGACTCGATCTTTGAGCACGAGTCTCCCTTAACCACAAGGTGGAAGTTGTTACAGTTGGCTGCTAGCCCAGCCTGCGTCGGAGCGGGCTTACTACCGGTCATCGACGAGGTAGACGAGGACGTCGTTGACGTTTTGGTCGTGGTAGTTTTCGACGTAGTCGTGGGGTATGTCGAAAACGAAATGTCCACGCTCGACGGCCCACCTGTCCCTGTCGGCAGAGTATAGCTGACCGAGGTCGGAGAGCGGATCGGGCCGACGGTTCCCGACGTGGACGGGCCGCTGACAGTGCCCAGGACGCAGTATGGCGTGTCTGGCGTCAACATAGGACATGTCACCGTGGGGTTGAGAACCATAAACTGGTCTACAGTTAAACCCCACTCTCTGGTGAATTCGATGCACGTTGCGTTGTCGTCCGCCGTGACTCGAAACTCGCAGTTGACGGTGCGAGCAGTGATCTGGTGGCCGACAAAGGGTGCGGTGACCTCGGCGGCCGCGGGGGAGACAGCGACGGCTATGGTCAAAGCCGGAGCGACGGCCAGCAGAACGGCCGCCAAAAAGGACGAGAAGCGGCCCATAGTGAGACGTTAAACTTGTGACAAAAAAAGGTGATATTGGTAAACGAGTGTAATTGGGGTGTGGCTGCAAGAATGGCGCCCGAATGAAAGACTGAAAGTAAAGCGTTTCTATGAGATTTTTGTAGGCACTTTACATCTGGCTGGTGCTCAGATCCAACATGATCCCCAGTCCCAGTTGAAGACAATCGGGTCCGGGTTTATACAGGTTACAAACATAGTCGGTTGATTCAGGCCGAACCCGTAAGGTTAGCCCGATATGGCCACCGGAACCTCTCAGACTGCGACGCTGGCGAGTATGTGGTTTTCATGATTTAGTACGACTTTTCAGCTCGGCGTTTGTATCGAAAGGATGCCGGATTAAAATTAACTAAAAAGTATAAGAATAGGCCAGGCGAAACAGGACGAACGGAAAGCAATCACCACAGCCAGTCGTGCTATCTCCATGGCCAACGTGGTCAACATCCCCGAGCCATAGTATAGATTGCAATTTTTTTTGTTTTCCCAACTCCGTACGGAAGTAACTTGATTACAATGACCAAACCAGGTCAATTGGATCAACCTTGTTCAGCCCTTTTTCTACGCTGTAAGCTGGTCAGGAAGAACTGCTCGCCGTATTCGATGACACACTCCGCGGACAGTTCTACTTTTCTTTTCTTTTCATTTTCCTTATAGATATCCTTGGTTATTGCCCTTTCCAGACTCACCTGCCTCTTCATTTCACAGGTCGGAGATCCATGGTATTCTCTCCACCCAAGGCAGAGTCACGATAAAGGGCTAGAGACACAGTTAAAAGAAAGAAAGAAAGAAAGAGGATTACGTGTGGGGGTACGCAATGTACACACACGGGATCGATACCCTACTTCAGCTACGACGGCTCACACGTTGAAGGCAAAGGTAGGTGTTGCTGCAGGGATATCAGCTTAACAGTATCAAGGATAAGAATAAGAGCACAAGTGGCTCGTCGTGCTAACGCAACGTTACGTAGAGGTATGCAGGTACATTGTTGACATATCAGATGACTGCCACTGAAGTACGAAATCAGATAAAGGATCGTCGCATCTACCTTCCTTGCAGAGTAACATAGGACGGGGGACTGCCGAATATCACTAAAGGAGGAACAAGAGGATTCAGATCCCAGTGTCGGTTTGAATGCGAAATTGAACAAAGGATGCGAGCCACACGACACCAGCATGACCGACGGCGAAAGGGTCCAGTGCTGAAGTGGACAGTGGACAGCGGACAGACGACGTGGGGCCTGACTTAAGGTACTTTTCTCATTCTCCGACAATGCACGCAATGCGCCACAATTGCACCGGTCCCAATGGCCGAAACACCCAGAAGTTGCCCGGAAATTCTGCGCGGGCCGAAGCGCTGGGGACGTTACCGGACAAAGGCCTTAGCAGTCTTGGGAGTCCTAATATTTCTGCATCGTCGGTACTCGTGTAACCTTAGTGATCTCGCTCCTTGGTAAGTCTTGGAAGTCTTGGAAGTCTTGGAAGTCTTGGAAGTCTTGGAAGTCTTGGAGGTCTTGGAAGTCTTGGTAGTCTTGGAAGGCGCTGGCCGTTGGGCCCTGGAGATGCTTGTTCCCACTGCGAGATTTGGGCAAGGTTTCGTGACTGAGAATGGACCTTTTAACGGACTCGTCGATGCGGTTCCGTAAGCGCCGATTCAGGATGATGTGTGGGTGCCCCACTGCAACGTACATGTACCGTACTAAACCGATCTGCATGCCACTCCCGCAGGATCTGCCGGTTACGGGACAGAAGAAGGGGGGGGGGGGTTGTAGAAAAAGAAGAAAAATGAAGGCAAAAAAGGAGAAAATAACACACGTGGTGAGGCTCTCTCACTGTATTGGATAGATCAGGGTCTAGATTGTGCCCTCCCGTTAGGGGCTTTTGTCATGGTTCCTCGGATCTTCTTGTGGTATGTTGCACAACACATCTCCGTACGAAATTAACCACCTGTTTCCCCGCACTTGGGCCGGTACCTGCAGGGGCTGCGGGACGGCGTGTTCGACGAAGTGGTATTGTCCGGCAGAGCACATCTCCGTTTTTGGCAATTTATTCGTCCTTTACCGAGCCCGAGTTTCCGGATTCAGCCCCCCTATTAATGACAAATTACGTCTGTTTTGTGATATCATACCATTATGTGCTGCGCGTGTCTTGTCATGTCACCCCGGCCAGCAAGCGCTTGTCGACGCACCGCGGCTACCACCTCTTTTTAGTCCTACCTCATGGTCCTCGATTTTTACCGCTTTTGGTACCACCACCACCATTCGTTTGGTTTCTCTGAGTTCCCGTCGCATTCTTGATTAGTCCCCTTGACCGTGTGTGTTCCCGTTCTCCCTTGACAGGGCCCCACTTGTACCTTTCTTTATTTGAACTGCAAACGCGCCTGCTCTCATTATTATCTCTTATCATCCTCCTACTGATACAGCCGTGCTGCAGTACTCCACTGTATCTACATCGAACACCTTTGCTCATCACAGTTATTTCGCTGCTACAATGTCCCGATGCATCGACGCAGGAGACCACTTAGTTTGGACTTTAGGCGCCGGCAACTGCTCGGCCAACACTCCGGGTGAGGCAAGGCTTTGTCCTTTAGGGTTCTGTAGGATATCTGCTATCACAGCTCTACTAACATGTACATATTATACACCATATATATTAGTTTGGCAGAAGAGTGCAAGCAGCAACAACCAGGACTGATCCACTGTGGGAAATATAACGGGGCTCTCTTGTTTTAACAATACGTTCATTTATAGCGAATACGTGCGATACGATGGAGCCAAGCTGTCTTCTAAGAACAAGAACAAGAGAACGTCGAAGAGAAAACGACAAAATTTCATGCCGCGGCCACGTGATACGTCGTATGGTCAAAACTACGACCTAGAACCTACGGAAGTGAACTCATCTACAATGGCCACGGTATGCACTCGTCCGTCGCAGATGGAGAAAAACTACGGACACATTCGCTCTAAATCCTTCGTTCGTGCATCGTCGAGTGGCTCTCTAACAACCTAACAAACATACCCCACGTGCCTGACTGTTAGGTCACTGTGGCCCATGACTTGCGACTTGCGACTTGGGACGTCGGTGACGAGGTGTCGTAGGATTGGCATCCAGGCCGGTGTCTGTTTGAGTTCCGCGAACGTCGTACACTCTGTGGCTTTCAACTCGTCGATATACATAAGGCACATGTATTTTAAGGATTTTAAGGTTAATTTCTGCAACCCCACCCTGTAAGACACGGCTGTGGACTAAAAATCCTCTGCTACCCTGAGCCTTGGCGTTCTTTCCTTCATTCCTTATGATCGGCGCGATGGACCCCTGGCTCGGGGGATCGATCCTCGAAGGCTATGGGGCACGCAGCTGAGTAGAAGCAATTTCTAGGATATTTTAAATGCACATGTGTCGGTGCTCTATTGGGAATGGCCGAAAGTCGGTTGAGACAAGGAGGAAGAGCCCCAGTCATCTGTCAGTGCAGATTTCGACATCTTGTAAGTGAGCAGGCCCCTAGAGTGCAGTTTGCTATTCTCTAATGACGCTAATGAATAAGGAACTCAAGAACTCCATACGATTTACACACCAGACCCGACTCAACGTCCGTTCAACCTGCCATACGACGTACAATCTGCAGGCCACGGCGGATGGAACTTAACACCGAGGGCAGAAATATGACAAAGGAGGGTACAAGTTCCGACGGGACGGTGTGGTAGCTGTTTTTTTTTTTATTTTTATTTTTATAAAAATGATACAGAATGAGAATGGAGCATCGTCACACCGTATTGCCGCTGTAGCCGTCGTGCAAGCACAATGAACTTTCGGAAGTTGCCTGCAGACAGCCATTGCGAGACCGTGTCGCGGTCTGTCGTCAAAAAGGCACGCCCATCCGCCTTGCCTGACTCTCGACGCGACGTAGGGAACCATATCCCAAGGCTCTACCTCGTCTCTGTTGCTCTCCCCTCCCTATTGCCTTTCTTTTTTGTCTCGCCGTTTGCCTCTGAACGAGGCAAGTGACAGTCCCTTCTTTCCCCCCGAGTGTCCTCTGCTCATTTCTCTCATTACTTCCAAGTCGATTTTGACTCCGTCGTTCATTCCCTGTCACATGTTGATAGTTGGGTTTCCTTTTTTGATCTTTCCACCTATTTTTGGCCACCACTCCACGATGTTGCCTACCTGGGTGACATCCGCGGCGGCAGCCGGTTTCATACTCTTGTCATCTGGCATCATTGGCGGTGCCGATGCGTCCCACTTTGGACTGCGCATGCCCGCCTCGCCTAAGTACAAAAGCCGCAGCGGCAACTGCCCGACGTCGTGCGCCCTTGTCGGGCCCGACCCCGCTAACTGGCCCGTCTACAAGAACACGGCACAGCTGGACAAGTGCACCGAGACCATTTTCTACCACATGTCACTCTCTGACAATGTTGATGATAGTACATTGTCTCACCGCATCTATGCTTGTGCCTCGTACGGTTCTTTCAAGGCGGCCGGTGCAGCGTCTTCGACTATGCGTGTGAAGCAGACGCTCGACAACGCCACGTTCACGGTAGGCCACTGGGATGAGAATGCACCGGCCGGTGTCGACCTGCGCGATTTGTCTAAGCAGGTCCGCCGTTTCTTGACCTCGGGCTTTATGGCCACCCCCGGCAACAGCTCCTCGTCGTATGCCACAGCGGGCAACCAGCCTCAGGTCCTGTTTGCGCAGACCAGTGGCGGCACCGTCGGTCTCTACGTCGGCAAGGCTATCCAAAGCCTATCATCCGTTACGGGCGCCCTCAAGTCGCTCGAACAGTCACTAACCGCTACGAACGAGACCACCGGCACAGTGGCGCTTGAGCTGTGTGGCACACACTACGACGCTGACCACATTATTGGCTTTATGGCCACCAGCAATACTTCTTTTGCGCCGGTCCAGCAGGTTCTCCAGTCGTGGTCTAAGGCCTCCTGTATCGACTACAACTCGACGCAAACGTTCACCAGCCCGGTCTCATTTACAAC